GTCCCAAAAGATTGAGTTGTCACTCCAGAACTGGGGAAGGGACTCTTCCTCTTTTGCAGGAAGTCATTTTAGGAAATTCTAAGCCCTGCTTAGAAAGGAGGAAAGAAATATGTTCTGATGCTCTACTTCAACTATAGGAACAGGACCTTTGTAGATGGGAGAGCTTGCTGATGTATGAGATTTTAATAGTTTTTAATCTCAAATTTCTTGCTGAGTTCCCCTCTTCTGCTGTCATATCTAGCCATCCTTCTACAGTGTGTTGAAAAGTCTGCCATTTGCCCTTCATTGACCGGCTTTCTGTTTACTCAGTGGAACAGTGAAACCCATAATGAGGTAGGTAAATTTGGTTGTTGCTCAGTATCAAAAGATGTTATCTTAGTGATCTTATACTGGCATTCTTTTAATTTATATCCAGGGAATGCTACCCTGTTGTGGGCTACCTGATTTCTTACCAAATCTTGTTTCTAGAGGTTTTCTCAAGTTCTATTATTAAATGCTTAACTTAAGACAGCTGCAGCCTTGCAGTTAAGTGTGAATATTGTAAGCTCATTTGCCTTTTCTCAGCTTTATCATTACTTATTCTGTAACTATTTTTTCCCCCGTTTGGGTGGGCAAGGAATATTTTAGGAACTAGAGTTGTATGGTTAGCTGTTGATTGTTATGCTCTTAACTGCCATTCTGAGAAAAGATTTCCCCTTTAAACGTTGTTCTGTATTCAGTCAGTCTCTGCTCTCCTGGATAAATTCAAGAAGAGTGGCCAGGCATTTGATATCAACGCAGAGACTGATAATGACCCCCAGGAGTTTGTTGAGGATAGAATGGAAGACGATTTTGATGCTGACGTTCTAGATAAGACAATGGCAAGAGATCTGAGGGAATTCTCCAAAAATCCGGAGGTGTGCGGAATAGCACCAGAAAGTTCAAGGTAGGTCCTTTTTGGAATATTTGGGTGGGCCAAATAGTTGTTAAAGAGAGCTGCTTGTTTTCTTCACTGAAAAATGATCAGGAGCAACATTTGCAAAAAGATGCATGTTAATCAGAAAACATTGTATAGAACAAACTTGAAGAAGCAATGGTCAAACCTTTAAAACTAGTGTTAAATCTGTTTCTTACAGAGAAAATCTGGTTTTTATGGGAGAAGGGGATATTGGGTCCATGTGTCTTCAACTGTCTATGAACCCCAGCGAGTATTCTTACTTCAGCCCACGAATTATCTCCATGTGGGCAGGCCCAGAACACTGGCGTTTTAAACCACGCCATAAAGGTATAGTGGACAGAGGTCGGAGAGGGGTTGTCAAGAATTAAGCAATCCAAGTTTCTTGTGACATCTCATAAATTTATGAATAGTCATGATCTTTTATCTGTTACTGTTTCCCTTCCTGCGGTTCAAATCTGTCTGACCTCTTTTACAGGTAGTCCCTGGGTTAAGAATGCCCAGTTTAAGGACGACCCATAGTTAAGAACGGAGCCAGTTGTAGTAAAATTCGAGTTAAATACACAATGGTTCAAGTTCATTACACAATACTGTTCCGGCTTACATACAAATTTGACTTAAGGACAGACCTTGAGACTAGAACTCATTCTTAAACTGGGGACTACCTGTACTATTTTTTTTCTTCTTCTTCCTCTTTTTCCACACTGTGTATGCATGCATGCACCCACACACGTTCTCCTTTTCAGAATAATGCTCTGGGTGATACTGCCTGAAGTTTAGAAAAGCGTATTCTGTAGTATGTATGTTAATCCCTTACCCTATAATAGAAATGGTATCACAGTATGTCTCATTTTTGCTTAAGCAAAAGGTAGATAAAGTTGTAGTAGTTGCGTTTCCAATATGAACTGTAATACTTCCACTGTAATTGTCTGTGCATTTTCTCACCCTACAACCAGGATTGGTAGGACGAAGCTAGAGCGATGTCTAATATTTAATTATTTTGAAAGTGCCCTGTTGTGCTGCCTGCTTGAAGACTGCTGAAGAAGTTCACTTTTACAAAGCGATACTGTCCGTGTCTGTGTGCGGCAGCACTAACCAATAGAAGGACTTAATATTCTATGGCAGAGCAAGAAACTGCCTTTCCTCCCATCATGTTGCATTGTCTTCTGTCATCTGCACAGGTGATAACAACTCTGAGAGAATAAGTAAAAGGAAAACAATCAAGAAAGTGTTTGAGATCAGTTTTGACGAGGAGATTGAGTTTGAACTTCACTTCTGCAAAACGCGGGTAGGTTTTTAACTTTTGGGAAGGTTTTCTAGATGCTAAAGAGCATAGCAAAGGTTATAAGGCACACAGCGTTGGAAGAGGGTAATTGCCTTTCTGTCGTACTTCCAGGCTTCCAAAGGCAACTGTTGCTGGACACACTGGGGGCCCAAATTGGCTTGTTCTTTTCTTGCCCAACAATTTATGTCTATGTGTGTGTAGTTTTTCTTCAGAGAAAAAGTGTGCGTCTTGTATTTTCTCCTGGTGAGAAACTGCCCAAAGTTCTTGGAAGTTACACGCATATATATCCCACACATTATGCAGGAGCATCTTAAACTATGCCAGGTGCAGCAAAAATACCTTAAAGGTTAAGCTACTATCTTGGATGTATCCTCTTGGGCAGGCTTCCTCAATATCTGTTACAATATTTTATTCAGATATATCTATCCTGCCCAGTCATGGTTTGCAAGCTGTCTTCCAAATACGTGTTCAGATATTGGCTGGCCTGCCAGCTGAGATCCATTTATAGCTGAGGCTTGCATTGAGAATGAAGGAAATTGTGTGCATGTTAAATCTGTTTTCAGTGCAAAGTGTAATTTAAGATAAAACTTGAAAAGGAGCAGCATTTCTGGTCAAGGATGTCTCTGACGGTTTCTGGTTTTCTAAAACAGGCAGCTACGATTTTGGCCAAGTCTACCCTTGAAAACCAAAACAAGAAAAGCAACACCCTGCCAGCAGACTTCCATTATAATCCAGACAACCTCACCCAGCTGTTCCTCAAACCGAAAATCGATGTAAGGTTTGCTTGGTCAGTTGAAGGATCTTGGGAATGATGCTACTCTGGGTAGAAGATTGGCTGAGAGGTTTTCTACGTGAGGCAGCACGCTTTAGTGGATTAATTCTTTCCATTAGTGGCGGGCGTCCTTACTCTTTCAAGTTTTTTTGTTTCTACAGCCGTGGAAGATGCCACTGCAAGGCAATTCATCCGGTCATGATGATGACGAAGTCGGAGAATATGATTACAACAATCCCAATGATATCTCCAATTTCTGTCCTGCAGTGCAGGTGAGTTGTAAAAATCAGAGGTGCGCTCTGTGTTGACTGCCATCCTTCTTGTCTGAAGTTGGTGGCTGGAAGCTATGAAAATTGGCTGCCAGTAGCAGCAAGATTTTGGTAGGATCGCTAATGGAACCGTGGAGAATGTTAATGCTGATAATATGGACGGCGGTTCCACTCAGAGTGTCAACTGAAAAGCCTTAAAAAGGCATCACAACCTCCTAAGGAATCTGAACATGGCTAATGGGAGGAGGAATAATTCCACCTTGTTTGAATTTCAGAAGAGAGGCTTAAGAATTGCTGCACAGTAAATAAACTAATATTCTGTATCTATGATACAGAAAGATTTACAGATATCTGAGAGGGATTATTATGTAGCGTCATACTAAATGAATGTTGTGCCTTTGAGTCCCTGTAGTATAAATTTTCCAGGCAGCGTTTTCAGAAACAGTTTTCCCTGGCCACCTTCTTCCTGGGCTGAGAGAGAGAGACTGGCCCAAAGTCACCCAGCTGGCTTCATGCCTTGAGACTAGAGCTCACGGTTCCTAGGCTCCTAGGCCTTTAAGCACCCCACCAAACTGGTTCTGATGTAACACCTTTACTAAGAATGAGAGGAGAGATTTTTGCCTCAGAGCACCATTGAAGAAAAATAATGTAATGCCAATAAATAGAGGAAGGCGAAGGGAAAAAAAGGTCCAGGTTAAGCAGGCAAAGAACTAGTAAATATAACTCTAATGGGATGTTAGTAAGCAAGATATGGGGACCATTTATTTATTTTGAGGTATTTACCCTGATTTCTTCCCTTGCCAGTCAATATTCCCAAGATTTCTTTGTTATTATTGTCTTTATATTTACTGCATTTCTCTGGGTGTTCTCGGTGATGTTCATGGCTCCCTACATTATAGGCTTACTAGAATAATCCTGGTAAGGTTAGCTGGGTCAAGAGTAACTGGCCCCAACTCATCCTCTGAGTTCTGTGGTCAAGTAACACCTTCATCTCTGAGGTATCGCCTGCCTTATTCTCCCCCCTGAAGTCAGGTTAGTACCATCCTGTTAATGTTCAGGAAGTCCCTCAAGACCTGGTTATGTCACCAGGCTTGGGGGTCCCAGGGAACTGGCAACATTTTAAGGTGGCTCCCCTGTTGAGGCTGGTACATTTACTCTCTCCGTGCTTTGTGGTTTGCATAGTCTAATTTTTAATAATGCTTCAATTTTGTAATAATGTCTATATTTTTATAATGATTGATTGTTTTTATATATTGTTGTTTTATTTGATAGTTGTGCACTGCCCAGAGTCCCTTCTTGTGAGATGGGCGGCTTTGTAAATTTGATAAATAAATCAATCTTAAATTTCAGCCTTCCCAATCTAGGCCCAATACCTTCACCATTGCTCTGTATTAAGAAAGGGCAAAAACACTATGATGTTATAAAACTTACACAGCAGCAAGATCTAAGCTGGGGCAAAATTTGGACTAGCATTTACAGTGCTGGAACACTTGCTGGGGGCTTTTTCTTTATTAGCATTCCCCTGGTCTGTTCTTCCTTCCAGGCATTTGGCCAACCCTCAACTAATTTGTATGTAAGAGAAATAAACTTAGGTGTTCTTCACATACCCCTGACACCTTACTGTAGTCCCTCAGATGGCGTCCGGCAGGTGACGTTAGAAAATTGGGCTACCTGTTAGAGATTGTTCCCTGCACTGCAATTTTGTAAGCATCTCATCTGTGGTCATCCATGGAATCTTTCCTAAAAAACTATGATGCAGTTAGAAATGTTATGTTTGAAATGCTAAGTTAGATGTTGGTGACTTACAGTCTAGAGTGGGGTTTCTCAAGCTCAGCAATGTTAAGATGGGCGGACTTCAACTCCCAGAATTCCCCAGCCAGCATGCT